TGGGACAATCTGGACTAGAGACCTCTAGCTGGAGTGCAAGTCTGGAGAGAGCACTGAGGATCCAGAGAAGACAGAACACAGAGAGGCCTTCCCCTCCTGCTGGCTCCCCTATGCTGGTCTTTGAACATAACAAAGGCCATATCACATCCTCCACGCAGGCCGCTCCCTCCAGCTCATAAGCGCTGTTACCTTTCCTTAAAGTCTCTGTCATGCACGCTGTGTTTCCCAAGGTTTATCATTCTCTGCAGTTTCTTGATATCACCTTCACTTGCAGCCTGGTGGATCTTTTTGAGAGGTTTGTATCTGGGTTTGTTTGGGACAGAAACGCTTTTCATATCATGTAAAATGTCCAACAACTTTTTTCTTGGGACATCGCAGAAACCCATAGGTGTCTTTTCCTTAATTCCATGAACCAAGTTCTTCATGACTGAAGCTACTGGTCTCACCACCTGGCCCTGACCCTTCGGATTTTCCCAAGGACTGGTCCTTAGACCAACTAACTCGCAAACTAAGTATTAGCTTATAGAAAAATCAAGATATGTCCACAAGGTCCCCCACCAAGATTCCATGGTGAGAGAAAGAGCTTATGACACACCTAAAGACCGTTGATCAACTCCAGGTTGCCAAGCAACCCTGGTGACCATTGGTGTACTGTGCGCATGCGCAAGAGTGGGTCTACTGTGCTGCTAACATCCCTAGAGCTAAAGAGTGTTCATTGTGAATGTACGGGCCACTTCTGGCCATCTCTCTGCAGGAAAACAAGTGTGTTTAAATATTAAATATCCACATCACTCTCACTTTAGACTATGCTGCTCCTCAGCTTCCTTCTCTCACTCCCAGCTCCGGCTCCTTCCTTACTCCCCTCCTACACCTTTTTCTTCTCTTCTTCCTTCCCCCTTCTCCCTCCTTTACTCACACAACCTTAAGCTCTTTGTCTTCCTCTTCCATTTTTCACTACCCCCTTTTGAACCCCATGCTTCTCCCCCAGGAGCTGCCAGAGTTTGAAGCACCCCCACCCGGCTCCTTCATCTCTTCAAATGCACCCCTGGAAAGTCCATCCTAGTGCCGCCCTTTCTTCCTACCTTACTTCCTTCTCTCCACACCCCTTTCACTCCAGGTTTCCCACAAGATTCCAGATGACACCTATCTCCTCTTCCTGCTGACCTTCACCCACACCATATAATCTCACCATTCACTCACTCACCACACACACACAAAGTGAAAAGCAAGCAAACAAGCCGTGATGGTGCACATTTTAATCCTAGTGCTCAGGAGGCTAATGCAAGAGAATTTTGAGTTTGCTGCCAGCTTTGATTAAACTTAGACCCAAATAAGAAAAAGTACCAAAAACGTCTGGAAGGCAGTGCTTAACTGTTCAGGTGTGAAAACAATGGATAATGTGTTACCTCCATTTCCACTAGTGCTTTTTAAATAGTCTAAAACATTTATTTCATAATAGCCAGTAAATATGTAACCACTGAA